AAAATCAGCCAGTGACCTGAATATTAATAACGTGTGCTATTTGTCTTCTCTCTAATAGATGCCTCCTGGTCTTTATTCCTTATCCAGACAAACCCCACAACTTTCACCAGAAAATTGCGTATTGTCACTCTATAGTCCAGGGGAGAGCCCTTACTGAATAGCATCTCCTGCTGGAAGCAGCACAGTTGCACTGTTGCAGATAGGCACTCGGTGCATCGGCCTTGGATCAAAATCAATGCTTTTAATGAGATCAGCAAGGCTTAATGATCTCTCTGTGTGCTCAGTAGCTTTTGTTCTTTCAAAGGAGACTTCCATTTTTGGGTAACTCCAAAACAGTGTCAAGCTTTTCGAGTACTTCTGAATTCTGAGTCAAGAGTTTAATGTTGTGTTAAATTTTCAACATCCTGTTAACAACCAAAGGCTCACGCGTTAGGATGGAGCTAGAATAATTCAGCTCGTCATGAGTCCTCATTATACCACAAAAGGGGACTATGTTCCAAAAGTGCCCATATTGTGACTAGACTCTAATTACATAGCCATTTTATGTGCGCCCAGAGATGCCATTATGGTCATCTTTAGTAGAGCAGAAAAGATTATTGTTTGCATTCAGCATGCTACTCCCTGCATTATCTTCCACTGCACATAAATGCAAAGGGGAAAATATATATAATTTATTTTCATTTTAAATTTTAAAATAGTCCCCACCCTCAGTCCCCTTTTTTTTGCTCCAGCTGCAAAATAGCTACTCCAATTTGGTCTAATTAAATTTGCACCTTAATTTTCCAAACTAGCAAAATCGCATTCAGTAAAAGTACACATGTGGAAACAGCTTATACTCTCATGTGATTTCTTCACTCATATATATAAGCATCCCAAGAAAGTAAATGAAGGGGCAGGGTAAAACAGAAATATAAGCTTAGCCAGTAACTATAAAGTTGGACTTCTGGTTTGGTGCAAGCAGGGATGACCAAAGCCAAGTATTTTTCATTCCTGTGAAACATCATTATTTAGGGCTTGGGAACCCTTAAAAAAAAGTATAAAATTCTATCTGTCTTCTCTCCAAACCTCAAATTTCAATACAAGAAGCTGAATGAATGGAGAAACATATATATCATCAATGGACAGAAGATTTTCTTTTGTACATAACCTGAGTCAACAGAGTCGATGGAACCAAGACAGGCTCCTAAGATGGGCGGATAAAACCTGATGACATTCAACATGAAGAAACGCAAGGTGCTCAACCTCAGGAGAAAGGACCCACATCATACTTAGAGGCACATCAGTGCTACACTCACTAGCACCACGACCAAAAGAGACTCGGGGTCACGATTGATCACAGGATGAACATGAGCCACCCATGCAATGCCACAGCCAGCAAAGCAAATAAAACTCTGGCTTGCATCTACCGAGCCATCTTAAGCAAGACCCAAGAAGTCATCCTCCTGTTGTACTTGGCTTTGGCAAGTTCACAGCTGGAGTCCTGCATCCACTTCTGGGCTGCACACTTCAGAAAGGATGTGGAGAAGCTTGTGAGAGTCCAGAGTAGAGCCACGCTTATGATCAGAGGACAAGAGAGCAGGCCTTATGAGGAGAGGCTGAGAGCATCGGCGATGCATAGGGGGTGCACACAGGTGCATGTGCACCCCCTGAGATCAGCTGTGCACCCCCTGGAAGCACCAGCTGTGAAACCAGAAGTGCACTTCTGGTTTTGCTGCTGGCTCGGTGATCGGCCCCTGGGGACCTCCCCCAACAGTTGGCGATGATTGGCTTCTGGGGGACCTCTCCCCCGGTCAGTGATATGGTGCCCCCCTGAATCAGGAGGCACCAGTCATCCATGGCTGAGAGCCATGGGACTCTTCAGCCTAGAGAAGCGAAGGCTCAGGGGTGACATGGTGGCAGCCTATAAGTACATCGGGGTGTGCATCAGGAACTGGGAAAACATCTGTTCACCAGGGCACCCCAAGGCAAGATAAGGTCTAATGGTCAGAAACTGCTGGAAGACTGTTTTAGACTGGAGGTAAGGAAAAACTTGTTTCCTGTCTGAGCCTCCAGAGTATGGAATAGACTCCCCCCAGAAGTAATGCAAGCACCTACTCTTGATACATTCAAGAAACGCCTGGATGCCCATCTTGCTGGGGTCATCTGGCCCCAACTGACTTCCTACCCTTTGGGCAAGGGGCTGGACCTGATGATCTCGCAAGATCCCTTCCAGCCCTAATGTCTATGAAAGCTATGAGAGTAGTGTAAGTGCTGAAATGCTGGTGTTGATTGGCTGCTTATTTTATAAAGCCCCCAGCCAAGGTTGCCATTCTAGGTAAATTCCAGTTGTGAGGAATTTAAACAAAAGGTCCTGGTTTTGATCCAATAAAACGTTCTGCTCCTTGACATGTGAGTAGTCAAGCATATAGTTAAATTAAGAGGTCATTTGACCTGCAATACTACTAGTATTACCCCAACACTAATAGTTTCCCTGTCCATGAAAAAATATGGAAATAACAATATGGGACATGAGATATTTTCCTACATTTAGCTCTTAGCTTTTCCTCAGGAGCTGCCTTGACAGTGATGATAACCGCAGACTAGGAAATTTCGCTAGGAATCAATGACTGACTGAAGTTAATGGCTCTCAGCCGATGAGGTCATTAATCTTCAGGAAGAACCTTGAGCTTTAGTCATTCTTGTTGAAATAAACTTCAGGAATTGCGTTCTGACTAGTGTAGTTCCAGTTTTTCTTTTTCTCATATTTTCCATCTTTTCCGTTTCTCCCCATTCCCCCGCTTTACCGGCTGTTAAAATGCTTCAAGCCATTTCACCGCAAACCTAAAGGAAGTCATATCTTAAAATAGACTTTCCCCCCACTTCCAAATACCTGCTAACTAACTTTACCAAACTCATCATCGGAAGAAAACTCTCCGCCAATCGACACACACGTGGCATTGAAGTGGAACTTGTTAAAACGTAAGTGCAGACTCTTCCAACACATTTCCACCCCAGCCTGGGTCAGCACCTCCCAATGAAACCATCAGAAGACAGGTTCTACATCTGCCTATCCAACATGTGGCACATCTCCTTCAATGCACAGAAAATTATGTGGATGAAACCTCCGTTCTGAAACGTATGGTACAGGATGAATTTGCAGAAAAAAATAATAAAGAAACAAAGGAGGATCTTTTTGTTTTGTTTTCGGGGGTTTTTGGTGAACTGTTACTCCATCCGTAACCTCACAGTCCTTCTTCTCAAAGGAAGCCTGCACAAAGCCTTCAGAATACAATCCTGAGACTGGAAATTCCCAAAATCATGACCTTGAAAAAAGATCGTGCTTTTGTGACTCATTATAATTTACCTCTCACCCTTTCCTGTCTGCTAACTCCTTTTCACTCTACAAACCATGATGCCGGCTTCCCTTTCAAGCAAGCCAAATAATTAACAGCATTATATTAAAATGAGAGGCCGTGTTTTTAGTTTGGACTATGACTTTCTTGGTTGTTTTTTTTTTTATTCCCTGACCCCAAAAGCTTGTCTCTCACTCCTCCCAAATATGCAAGTTGGTCTGATAAAAGATATGACCTCTCCTCAAAAAACTTCACTTCACTCATATCTCTGAACCGTCATTTGGACAAGAACATTGCTTAATATATCATGCCTTTCCAATGTTTCTTCTGATAATACCAGGTTTGGAAGTGTAACTCCAGTACACCCACATTTGGTCTGATGGTAATGCTGCTGCCATTGGAGGGGAGCACAGGATGGGAGCTCTGTCTCACCAAGGGGCTTGAGCTTTGGCCATTTGGGTGTGTTCCACATTGAAATGACAGCTGAACATTTCCAAATTCTGAGGGAACAATATTTCCAAGATAAATTTAGTTTCTGGTTTTTCAAAAGTGGTGTTTCGACCAAAAATGAAGCTTTCCCCCCCCCTATTTTGACACTCTGTGGTGCAATGCATAATAATTGAACCAAAATGCCATTTCAAAGTTATGAATCAAAATCTTGTATTATGAAAATTTTGAAATATTCTTTTCAGCACAGTTGAAACGTCCATCTGGTTTTCCTCGGGAATGAAATTTGCACAAAGGATTTTGATGGATAATTCTGAGTTCTAATAAAATACAGCTCCTTCAGTGTTTTCTTGGCCAGTTTTCATTTTAGACAAAGTGTCTGCTTTATCCAGGGCACGGATGTAGTAGATGCTCTCTTTTGCTTTTGATATTCTCCATAAATCACTTAGGAAGTGAAATCCTAGTGACAGAAGACATAATTTGTATGTAGTAGTGTCAGTGGCATTTATGCATGAGAGTCAAGAAATATCCCAAGGCAACTGCTCTCATTCAAAGAGCTCAAGTATCATTTAATCATATGTTCAGGAAACCATGTTGGGCTTTTCCTAATTTTAAGGAACAAAACATCGTACGCTAGGGTGAAATCTTTGTATACCCTAATGCATTTCAAAATGCCAACTCTCTGCACGTCATGCAGTGTGCATATCTGACAAAGGTATATTTGGATGCATAATCTTATACATTTAAATAGTTTGGAAAGGAGTTTTGGTTTGAACGTGGACCTGGAGGCAGATGTGGGGAAGGAAACAGCTGAAATACCTCCACTGATGTAATTTATGTCACAGTGAATTTTCAGTGTTAGAGACCACAGCTCTGACAAAATCCATTTAAGGTGCCCAGGAATCAGGGGGTCTAGCAATGTGAATAGCTGCATTTTAGTCACTGGAGCCCTCAAAAAGTATTTCAGAGGAAGGCTCAATCACGCATGGATGACTATTTGGCTTCACTAACGGACCATCTGAGTGAATATATTGATTGGGGTGGGCAGGGGTGAGAAATTTAAAGCAAGATCCTAAATGCTCTCGTGAAGGCAGGTTGTAAACGGGACCCTTCGCAGAAGGGGCCCCAGCAGGTGGAGATAGCTGCAATTGAAAAGTTGCCGTTTCCTTTCAAGAAGTGTTGCTTTATCATCCCCGGTTCTTCTATTTGTGTTTTCTCCAGGCAAAGCGTACGCGCCGGAGTTTTACTACGACACCTACAACCCCCTGTGGCAGAACCGGCCCCGGGTTTACTCCTACAGCCTGCAGTGGACTCAGATGAACCCCGACGCTGTGGACCGCATCCTTGCGTACCGCCTAGGGATTAAGCAGGTGAGGCAACCCGTGCTACACCTGGTGCTTTTTCACGGTCTGCCCTCTGTGAGGACTGTGTTGCCGGTTGTTTTCTTCCCATCTCCTGAGTTGCTCAGCATTTGTGCTGCTCCGCTTGTGAAGATTTGCTGCGAAAGGCAGTCCTGTCCTGCTTATAAATCCTTGAAACTAATTTGCACAGTTCCAGTGCAACAGCCCAGACATTAAAGATATATTCCTCGGAGGGTTTATGGGCGGCTTCTGCTCAAAATGTACTGGAAAGATTACATGAAAGAAACTTGCAATGAAATTAAACTTTTTATATCTCCCCATATATCTAGATAGCTCCTGGTATATCTCCTTGTACAGCTAGATAAATATAGAGATAGATATATCTGTCATAGGTGGGCATGTTGTGTGATCTTTGAGATCTTGAAAATCGTAAACTTTTTAAATTTTTTTTTGTATATAGTCCCTGTGTCTTTCTAGGATTCGTTTTGATAAAACAGGTGTACTTAAAGATGAGGGGCACAGACCCATTTCCAGAAGGACTAGTAAATTAATATTTTAATGTTTGTCAGTCAGTCTTAATGCATCGTTTAATATATTTTTTAAAGGAATATAAATATCTTCTAATCTGGTGGTGGCTCTGCAGCATGAACTGTTTATTCAGCAGCAGAATAGTATGGACCATAAACTGGAATGGATAACTCCTCCCCTTACTGCCATCAAGATCACATAGCAAAGCAGAGAAACATTTTTCTATTTCTAAATTCCTGTCCACAAGGGTGACCCCCAAACCTGCAAGTATATATTCTAAAGCAGAAGATGTTCACAATATAGTAACACTGTTTTGGGGTTTGTTTGTTGGGGGTTTTTTGGGGGTTGGTTTTTTTTTTTGGTGGGGGGGGTGTTAATGGTCCTCTCTGGGCTCTGTGTATGTGCTGAACCCTACAGATATATAGTAGATTCATCGTTATGGAAGTTGGTTGAGGGTATTTTGCTCTTCAGTATTTCCATACATTGAAAAGGGACAAATTAATGACCCAAAATAAGTCCCTTTGATATGAAGTCTTCCTCAGCTATAGCCTTCTTGGGTGTGTCCGGACAAGCGAGCGTGTGCCTGTGGCGGCACCTCAAAGCAGTTTGCGAGTCCTCCAGAGGCACACTGGGAACAAAAAAAATGTTCCCCATGCTGCATAGTTGCAGCGTGGGCTCTAAGCCAAGAAATTTCCGTATCAAAAAAAAAAAAAACAACCCCATGCTGGGAAAAAGCAGCTCAGAGCATACTGCTGGAGCATGTCCAGAGGCAACCAGAGGCTGGGTCCTCCAAGGAGATGCTCTGGCACCCGGCCAGTGTCTCTATTGTTGCCCCATGCCCCTGCTGCCCCAGTACGCTGGGGCAAATAGGAGCAGGGCAAGACTGCAGCAGCAGCTCAGACCCAGGCTCTGTCCCAGGTCAGAAGGGATGCGGGGGTGGCAGGACTGTGGTGGGGGGAGGGGACTGCTCTGGAGGGATAGGTCCCCCACCTGCCCACCCCCGCCTCACATGGTGCACAGCCCCCCCGGCAGCATCAGCTGTTGGGGCACTCATGATGCAGGGGCAACTGCCATACTGCAGCCCTGCCCCGTGCCCACACCGGTGCGGGGACATGCAGCCTCAGCTGGGGGGCGGGGCTCTGGTCCCAGGAACCACTTGGGGGGTGTTATGGGATGCGGGGAGGGATGGAGGTGGCAGCAGGGGTGTGCTTGTGAGCCGGTGGTGGGGGATCGCTCCAGGGAGGAGAGCCCACCAGAGCTGGACTTAGAGCCCCCTTGCTCCTCTAAAGCAGCCTGTGCAGGGGGAGGCTGGCCTGGAAGGGAAAGGGCTTGCCCAGCCCAGTGCCTGATCCCCAGTTGAGGGCTTCCCAGGAACAGTGTGGGGATCTCTGGGGCTGGGTACAGGTGCATGGAGCAGAACAGCAAGAACTGACACTGCTCAGAGCCACAGGGCAGCGGGCAGGACAGCTGCAGCTGGACTCGCATCCTGGTGCTTTGATGGAGCTGTGTGCAGGAGGGAGTTAGTTGGGGGCAGGTAGGTGCTGTGGGTCAGGAGTGAGGGGCACTGGCAGGGCTGTGGGTTCGGAGTGAGGGGCAAGGAACCAATGTATCAGTGCTGCTCAGTGCCCCACATCCTGGTGAGCGAAGGGAGCGGGGGCAGCTCTGATTTTTCTATGACAAAAAACCCCAGAACAAACGCCGAAGTGTATAGAAATTTATCATTTATTTTATTATGATAGAGGCAGTGGTAGACTTCCCAATGGCTTTAAAATTATAAATATATCAATAAAACATTGCCCAAATGATCTCTTTATGGATTGTGGCCTTTCGTTTCAATTGCAGAAGAACACGGGTTTGGGGTATTTTAATGAAAGAATTTGAATTTGGGTTTTTTATCAGAAAGTTTGCGGTTTTTAAACAGAGAACACCAGGATGCCTGCTGGCGAGGGAAGTGGCAGGACCTGGGCAGAGGAGCCTGCCTAGGGCCAGCACTGGGGTCCCAGCTGGAGGGCAGACGAGGTGGGTGACCTCCTACCTGTTTGGGGCCAGGAGGAAATGTATGGACAGCTCGAAGTGGGCCACTGCAAGAAGCACATTTTCTGGGCAATAGCTGCCCAGATGGCAGAGCGGGGACACCTGAAGACATGACAGCAGTGCTGCCCAAAAGCCAACTGTGCAGCCACGGCCTACTGGCAGCTGGCCCAGAGGTGCAGGCTTCTCTGCTGCAGTGCCCGTACCGCAGCCCAGGAGGCTGTGCAGTCCCCATCTGGGTCTGGCAGAGACGTAGCCATGGGACTGCAGGTCCAAGGGGGCAGTTGCTGTTGCAGGAGGCAACAGGTCAAAGTCAGGCAGCAGCCCCTACTGCCAGACTGCTGCAGTGAATAGCGGGTGTAGGGACCACTGTAGGTCAGGGTTGCTTCAGCAATCCAGCAGGCACAAAGTAGGTTGCCTAGATACCAACTGGCCAGTCCTCAGAAGCTCTTGAGATCAAGTAGTCCTCAGCTGCTTGCCAGGGCAGCTTTTTATACTGCTGGAGCCAGCACAGGTGTTGGCCCCAGCCTCTAGCTGCCCCAGCTGAAGATCCGGGAGTAGCTGGGCAGGGTCAGTTTGCCCCAAGTGGCATCATTTTCAAAGTGCACGTTGAGGCACGTGTGCTAAAGTACAAATCTCCAGCACAAATTTGTGCCACTGCTGTTTGAGCTGCTGCAAGCACAAGTGCCTGCATGTGTGGATGCACTCCTTGAGTCATATTTTCTCAGTCATGTTTTAGCTCACTTGTGGCTGAAAAAAGATGAGAAGGGATAAGGCAGATTGGCTGTATCTTTCTGGCAGAATTGATAGTATTGCAGTGTGTGTAGACCTTACCATCTTTGGAGCCCAAGTGCATTCTGGGAGAAGACTGCGCAATCCAAAGGAATGCATAATTAAAGGAGAGCTCCGGAAGGGATTTTGTTCCTTAAGACACTCAATTCTTCTGGAGCATCCTCAGAGTGATGTGGATCTGTCCTTCTTCCAGCAGGACTAGTGACTTAGGGCCATGCTCTCACTTATAGGGAATAAGCTACCCACAGATATGGGGAGGGTCACAGTGCACAAAAAATGACAGCGAGCTAAGAAAAGATTCAAGGAAATGGGTAGTGGCAAGAAAGACCTGCTTTTCAGAGTCTCTTTCTTGCCTCTGCTACTAATAAAACATTTAGAAATGATGTGCCTTTTACAAGTGGGACCTCTTTTAGGGTCTCCCACACAAAACAGACTTACTTTTTCCCCCCCTATATTTTCTTTTTATCCTTAGACAATGGGAGAGGCTGGTCCTTTTTACCTGTGTTTCTAGTTTGGTTTCTAGTTAGTGCCTGTCTGCTTCACATTGTAACCTTCACTATTGAAACCGATTTCCAGACATATACAGTATAGGCACCTTCATATACAGAGGTGCACCTGGGCGGGTTTGCTAGAGGGCCCAAGCCAGTTAGACATCCGTATCCTATTGAAAATTAGTTAAGTGTCCAACTCATTAAGCATTTTTGCAAACCTAAACAGGCATCTGCATCATTAGGCAACTAAATACCTTCATAAATTGGCCCTGCTGTCCCAAAGACTCAGATAAATCAATCAACTTCAGAAATGCGTTTTACTGGATTACAAAAACATATAGTGAATGTGTTTCTGTCTATATGAGGACTTTTGGATTTCCATTCCCAACTTGGTTTTTATTTTATTGCTATTGCCTGCATTGGGTGGGGGGAGGTGTTAAAACAGTAGATCCTTTAATTCCGTTGACAACAATTTCTATCAAGATAAGCAAAAAATTTTCCTTTCATCTGACTGGGGCTACATTTAAGTCTTGTATGTATTTTAAATCTACTGAGCCATCCAGGCATGTTCTTTCATTATTGCTGATTTCCCCTGGACCCTGGGTGATAATTACAGTTCTGGTTCCCTTTAACACCTGCTGGTATTTGTTAACAGCAGTTTGCCCTCTGAAATGTTTGTGCTTGGATATTTTATTCTACTTTGCAATATTTTGGGAGGAGTTTTTTTTGAAGCCTAATTGAGGAGGAAAGATGTGAAAGCAGCTTTCAGATTCTAGTTGGAAACACATGCTATCATTCTAATACCAGCAAAGCGTTCTTTCTCCATAGGGAACAAATTTTGTGTGGTGCCTGTAGATTGATCAAATTCATGCTTATAAATAATACAAAAAAAATTGCACACATGGGTTTTTTTCCCCATTTTCTACAGAAATGCTTGCTTTGTGTGCAAGCAAGCAGCACGTTTCTATCCTGGCTGTCACCAGCTTGGCCTTTAAGGGATTGAAAATGTGTAAATTCCTCTGGGCTGCTTCTTGCATCCTGCCAGTTGTTTCATACCTTATCCCTTCAAGTGAGATGACTAGATTCATGGAGATAGTCCAGGCATGACAATGATGAGGCTTCATGAGCATCATCAGAAGGAGAATTTAGTGTTTTATGGGCCTAGAG